CAGGCTCAGCCAGGTCCCACCGGCACACAGCAGGACTCAGGCTCAGCCAGGTCCCACCGGCACACAGCAGGACTCAGGCTCAGCCAGGTCCCACCTGCACACAGCAGGACTCAGGCTCAGCCAGGCCCCACCAGCACGCAGCAGGGCTGAGGCTCAGCCAGGTCCCACCTGCACTCAGCAGGACTCAGGCTCAGCCAGGTCCCACTGGCACGCAACAGGACTCAGGCTCAGCCAGGTCCCACCGGCACACAGCAGGACTCAGGCTCAGCCAGGTCCCACCGGCACACAGCAGGACTCAGGCTCAGCCAGGTCCCACTGGCACGCAACAGGACTCAGGCTCAGCCAGGTCCCATCGGCATGCAAAAGGCCTGGGGTGTGCCTTTACCCCTGTCTTTCCTGTGCTTCATTTTCCTCCTTGATATCACAGATGTGATTTTTACTTCCCCCGCCCCCATACTCAAGTGTGCTCACATATCCTAATATCAAAAATTACTTATTTAAGCTATACCTAACAAGTACAGACTGACCTCATCTCTTCTGGCACCATTTTCCCAACAGCATGTGCTCAGGTCCTATCTCTGTGTCCAATTTCAGTCATGCTCACGATGTCTTCACGTTTCTCATGATATCATTGCACCTTCGGTAGACTACAGTGTAGGGTGAACCTAAGTCTTGTATGCCCTGGGAGACCAAGACATTCACATGACTGGCTTGATTGTGGTGTTCTTAGTATTGTGGTGATCTGAATCAAGGTCTGCCATGTACAGTCTCTTTAGCAGGAATCTCTGGGTGGTGTTAACCCAAACATAGGAGGGTCCAGTGCACCCAGGGACACCAGGAGGAATGGCCTGGGGATCCCCTTTGCAAAGTCAGCCTTCAGCTCTGTGGAGCACAGCAATGCTCCGACACACAGGTGGTCTTGGGTCAGAATCAACTCGACAGCAACTTTTTCTATTGTTACCTTTATTAGATAGTAAGTTCTAGAGATCTTTGAGAACAGCTTAGTGACTGATCAGATATACTAGTTGCTGTACCATAAACTGATCACCCGGTGACTACCCAAACAAGTGACCTCCAGCTAGCTCACACTGCTCAGCAGAGCCCTCCGCAGACATCACTTGTGTTGCCCTGGCGGCCCAGGCCCCTGGAAACCTCCCAACCCCACAAGTCCTCACCATGCTGTCCCCCACACCCCAGGCAGTAAACTTGGGGAACATTTTAGTTGAGTGTTAAAAGTGAGTTGATGGAAGGTGGGTGGCTCCCAGTGTGAATTCCAGCTCCTTCCCAACTGGATGCCGGTCCATCTATGACATGAGCTGGCTTACTGGGCTGTGGAACAGTTGACTGGTGCTGTGGTCAGCAGTTTGGGACCTTAGGTAAATGCTGCCCTTTTGATTGTGAATGGGTGACCATTCTGTGTCTGTGTACCTCACTAGAGTGGTGATTCCCCCTGTACACCCTGCATACAGTCTACCGCTCGACTGGACAGCGAGCCATGAGGCTGAATGAGTTCAGTTCTAGGCCTGAAGGGCCGTGGTCTCAAAGTTCCCCAGTCTCTTTCTGATCATTAAGCCTGGTCTGGTGCTCAACACTGTGACATCAACAGGCTTGTTTTTGTTTTTAAAACCTTTATTGAGAATTGAGTGAAGGTTTACAGAGCAGATCATCAGTGTTACACTCAGTACATTGTACACTTTGCTTGACTGCAATACTTAGAATCCCCTCCATGCACCATCGGTTACCAGCATTTGCCTTGATTCATTTTAATTCTTACATTCTTCTCTGTGTCTCCTGATATCCCCATCTTATCTCGGCCCACCTCCCTGTCCTACATTGTCTGCCACATTGCCCCTCTTACATGTGTCTCCCCTCTCACCCAGACTCACAGTTTTGGTTGAAGACAAGACTGTTACCTTTCTTGCTCCGTATTATGAAATTATTTACGTTTTTAGATTTGTAAGTACCAATTAGAATGAGCATGTGAATTTTTTTCTTCTTCTCATGTTTCCACCCTGTTTCCTTTCAGTCTCTTTCAGTGTGTGTCCATCACAGACCTTATTGGGTACATTTTGGTAGTATAGTGGACTACGAGGTGGGCTGCTAACCTCAAGGTTAGCAGTTCGAATCTACCAGTCTTTCTGTGGGAGAGAGACGAGGCTTCCGGCTTCCATAAAGATTTAGTCTTGGAGACCTGAAGGGGCAGTTCTGCTCTGCCCTCTGTAGTTGCTGAGACCCAGAGTGGACTGGATGGCTGTGGGTGGGTAGGTGGTCTGTGGTAAGTGGTCTATGGAAGATAGTCTATGTTAGGTGGTCTATGGTAGGTGGTCTGTGGTAGCTATCTGTGGAAGGTGGTTTGTGGTAGGTGGTCTTAGGTAGGTAGGCTATGGTAGGTAGTCTATGGTAAGTGATCTAGGTAGGTGGTCTCTAGAAGGTGGTCTATGGTAGATGGTCTGTGGCAGGTAGTCTATGGAAGGTGGTCTGTGGTAAGTGGTCTATGGAAAGTGGTCTATGGCAGGTGGTCTGTGGTAGGTAGTCTGTGGTGATCTATGGCAGGTGGTCTATGGTAAGTCGTCTCTGTTGGCATCTGAGGAAGTCAGAAATAGTGTGAGGTGACCGCGGTGAGGCTCAGGTCTAGGAAGTAAACCCAAGGTGCTGGACAACTTCCGTTAGTGACGACCGCTGTCTCTGGGAAGCATGATCCCACCAAGCACAGTTAGTAGAAGTGGGCCTAAAACAAAGTTCCACAAGCCCGAAACTGAGAACAGCGGAGGTCACAAGTGCAGAACCAAGGAGTGCCCCGAACCTCTCCCAGCTTCTGGTGGCTCCAGGTTTCTAGACCTGGCGACACGTGGCCCTATCTCTGTCTCTGAGTTTCTCCTCTGTGGACCCTCATCAGACTGCATGAGGGGCCACCCTCCCCAGTGTTTCCAGAGAACACCACCCTCACCAGTACTGGGGACAAGGAGGGATGGTGGGGTCCTCGGACTTGGGAGCCTCAGGAGCCTTGAGTCCGTGCCTGGGGGGTCCTAGGGTAGCCCCTTGCCCCTGGAATTTGCGGGAGCAGTGCACTGCGGCCTCACTGCTCCATCCTGTCTGTTCTCAGCTCTCATCAAATACATCCGGCCGGTGTTCGTGTCCCGCTCAGACCAGGACTCACGCAGGAAGACCGTGGAGGAGATCAAGAGACGGGCACAGTCTGGTGGGAAGTGGCCACAGGTACGCAGCCCCACTCGTCTTTAGAGCCCGTGTTTTCCCCGAGATGGGGTCTGAGAGGTTGGAAGAGAACTGAGAGGAAACGTAAGGTTCTTCTTGTCTGGAAACTGGGCTCCAGTTCCTTTTGTGTGTGTGTGTGAATGTGGCTGTTTGTGAATGGGTGAGTAATAGTGAGTTGGGTGTGTGAATGGGTGTGTGTGAGTGTGTGGGAATCCAGGAAGGTGTTAAATAACAGGTACTTTGCTTTGGTTTTAGGAGTCCATAGGTAGTGTGAATAGTCATACACTTGGCTACTAGCCAAAAGGTTAGCGGTTCAAATCCACCCAGAGTACTTTGTCATAGCTATCTGACACTGCTGTGACGGAAATCCCTAACTGAATGGGCTTAGCAAACAGAGATTTAGTCTCTCACAATGTGTTGTTGGTTATTGTCAAAGTGCCATCGAGTCACCTCTGACTCATAGCTACCACTTAGTGTTTCTAAGGAGCAGCTGGTGGGTTTGAACCACCGACCTCGTGTCAGGAGGCGGCTTGAAGTCCAGATTTTTCTATAGGAAGGCTCTCTCTGTCCGCTCTGAGAAAGAGCCCTGTCTCCTCTCCGAGTTCCTCAGAGATCCGGATCTGGGAGCTTCACAATGCGGGGACTTCTTGACTCTTCTTCCATGGTGGTAGCAGGTGCCTCTGAGCTCTGCCTTCCTGTTTAATCTCTTGTATATCTCAGAAAAGACCAATTCCAGATAAAACAGCATCCTGTAGATTGCATCTGCTCTCGTTACCACCATTGTTGTTGTTGTTAAGGGCCGTTGCGTGGGTTCCAACTCCTAGCGACCCTGGATAAGGTTTCTGAGGAGCAGCTGGTGAGTTTGCACTGCCCACCTTGTGGTTGACAGTTGAGTGCTGATCCTACAGAGCCATCCCATCATAGAAGTGAGGATTTACAAGACGTAGGGTGATGGTGTCAGAGCACGGCAGATCACGGCAGATCACCGGAAGTTACTACATCATATCAGTGCTTAACTGCTAACTGCTGCAAATCCTGGTCCAGCTGAGGTAACAGAAAACCTTAACTACCTACCACACGCCTCAGAAGAGAGTCCTGGGACCTCCTTCTAAGACTCAGCCATTGGAACATGCGGAGCACAGTTCTCCTCTGACACATGTGGGTTGACATGAGTTGAAATAAACTCAATAGCATCTGGTGACGATACTTTGGTTTTAGTGTCGGGAATACTAAAATAAATGAGGGGTTAGAAGGAAAGATGCGTTCTGAAATGCATCATGACCATCTTAACTGAAGGTAATTTTGGAGAAGCTACAGCCCCTGGCCCCCTGGGGTCAACACAGTCTCATCTCTGTGATGATTCTTTCCCAGGAAGGTACGATACTTAGTCTAAAATTCCCAGACTGAATGTGGCTGGCATGTGTGATGTGGGGCAGACTGGCCGAAGAGGACCTGACTCTAGCCGCAAAGAGGCAGCAGCTCGTAAAAGTATACCTATAGCAAGTTGGGGTTTTAGGTTTTAATTTTACATGAATTACATCAGTTATAGAATTGTGTGTTTGTGTGTGCCTGTGTGAAAAATTAAACTACCACAGAAGGATCCCCAGCCAGTTACCCAGTCTCTTCTCTCCCCAGGATAACCCTCCGTGTGCCGCTCCAAACCTTCTCAGACACATTTCCAGATGCACCCGGGCGTCCGCGGGAGGTGCCTTGCTGGACTTGTGCTGATCTCTTTCTCTCTCAGAAGCGCCTTGTACTGTGGGTCGTCCTCCAATCCCACGGACACACAGGGAGCTAGCTGACCCTTCTTAATGGCCGTGCAATATGCCACACGCCAGGGTGGTCCTAGTACCATTCGTATGACCAGGGCGGGGAGAGAAACCACCACCCTACATGGGTGACTTCAGGGAACGTGTGAACATTTTACCACCCTCAGTGCCACCTCACTGTTGTCAGCTGAATATGAGTAAAGTTTCTAAATTATCTCAGAAGCAGAGAAAATACTCCTGGCCTCGGAATTGCAGATCCTATAATGTTTGTCTGCTTTCTTTCTTTCTCCCTAAGATAATGATTTTTCCAGAAGGTACTTGCACCAACAGAACCTGCCTGATCACCTTCAAGCCCGGTATGTCATTTTCTTAGTTCTCTTTCTAGGGGAGAAAGGGTGACTAGCAGAACACTGAGAACCATGGTGCATGTGGGTTATAAACACTGGGGTTGTCTTTCCTATGTGAGCCTTCTGAAAAGCTCTTGGAGTTGGTGTCACAGGAATTATAACTGTGCTCCAGGATGGCACTTCATGAGATGGAAATGAGAACACTGCTGTAGAAAAACACCCACGATGCAGTGGGGTGGAGAGAGTGAGGAGCCCAGCAGCGGGGCTGTGGTGTCTGGGTTTGTTCGCCATGGGACCTCCCACCTCGTGCCCCTTGGCTCCTCACCTGGTGCTGAGAGGTGTGGACTAGCAGCTTACCTGTGTCCAGGCGGACTCCCAGAGGCCCCAGGGCTTGGGGATGAAAATGGAAGGGAAAGCTTGGGGGGGGCCACCTTGGAGGTTGACACATAAAATGAACGCTCGCTACTAGGAATGGAAGTGGAAGACCCTCATGTACACTTGTGTAAGGGAGCTTCAAAAAGTGAATGGGAAAAAACGGGGTTTTAAAGTATTGCCAAGGAATCCTGGAATAGCACTGTTGGATAAGCACGGGACTACAAGGTTGCTGCTTCCAACCCAACAGCCATTCTTCAGAAACCCTGTACAGGGTCACTATGAGTGGGAACCGACTTGGCGGCACTTAACAACAACAACAGCCTTCTAAATGATGCCCTGGTGAGGGGCCATAGGGTCAGCACTGAACTGGTAACCTGAGACCGGCAGTTCAAACCCAACATCTACTCCTTGGAAACACTATGCTGGGTCGCTACGAATTGGAACCAACTCTACGACGGTTAACAACAACAGTATTGCCAATGGAGCCCCAGTGGAGCTGTAGGATAAGCACTGGACTGGTAACCTCAAGGTTGGCAGTTCAAACCCAACAGCAGCTCTTCAGGAAAATGAAGAGGCATTCTGCTCCCATGAAGATTGACAGCCTCGGACCCTCAGCAGGCTCGCTGTGAGTCACAGTTGATGCTTTGGCAGTTGGTTTTTGGTTTTTGAGGATTGCCCAAATGTTAGGAGAAAGAGTTATGGGTATTTGTAGGGGAGAACTTGGTATTTTATTGATTGTTTTTTGTTGTTGTTGTTAAGTGCCATCGAGTAGGATCCGACCCATAGCGACCCTGTACAGGGTTTCCGAGGGTGTAAATCTTTACGGGAGTAGAAAGCCTCATCTTTCTCCCGCGGAGCGGCTGGTAGTTTCGAACCGCTGACCTTAAGGTTCGCAGCCCGATTCGTAACCACTACGCTACCAGAGATCCTATTTTATTGATTAAGAAATAATAATATTCCATCTCTGAGAAGCCGGAGACCTGGTGTGGCGCTGTGGGTTAATGCACCAGACTGAAAAGCTGTTTGAACTGCAAGGTCGGCAGTTCAAACTCACCAGTTGCTCCTCGGAAACCCTACACAGGGTCACTATGGGTCCGGAATCGACTTGACGGCCCGTAACAGCAACAACGTACAAGAAATCAATCCTGTATTGTTAATGGTCTCAAACCATCAATACTACTCTCCACCAAAGGTATTTTTACAGGCAAACACTGATGTACCCTGCAGCTAGACAACAAACAATTACTAGAGTCCCATCCCAGCGAGACCCCACAAAGCAAACACCAAGTGAGGTCTCTGTGCGGGCTCACTGCGCCCCCTGGTGGTGGAAGAACAAGACAGCAGAAAGCGATTTGGTACCTGCAGAGAAAATGCGCTGAATCTACTGAAGCTTCCGCAAACGCTGGTACTGCACAGTCCCCACAGAACTTTATGGCATGTGATGAACTGTGAGGACTCCCCCACCCCCTACACATACACCACACATTTCCTAAAGTGAAAAAACGGCAGAGAGGGGCAACAATTCAATGCCACAAAGACACGTCGTTGGCCAAGGATAACCGTAGTGATGAGCTAGCCCCTTTTCTAGCGGTCAACATAACAGGGTGGTTTCCCCTCACGTGCCACCTTAGAACCAGGGAAGAGAATTGGGCGTTCTTTACATACAAACCTTCCTGACTGGGTGTTGTCTTCCCAGCTTTGTAATTATAGTCACTTATTGGAGAGGCCCCTCCCGGGATTTTAAGGCTAAGGAGGGACTTTGGAATACTGTGGGGACCCAGCAAGCATCTTTCCAGCTGAGGCTTCCATCAGCAAGCATGGAGAGTGAGCCCTGCAGTATAAACAGATTGCAAAAGAAGTCTGTGTAGACCTCCAGCCGTCACCCCAAGAGGTGCAACACCCTGATGCCATGGAAGGAAAGCTGGCCAGATAACAAGAAGCCCATCAGCAAACCTGGGCTTCATTCTTCAGAGCTGTGCAGAAACCTCATGCCAAAAGACAACCCAGGATTTCTGGGGCTGATCAATGGAGAGGGCCCCTCTGTCCCCTGGGACTGGCCAGACCCCACACAGTCACCCGCAGCCTGGATGCTCGCACCTCGTGATGCCCATGGTCAGTATCTGGTGGTGCTCCGGTGCCCATGACTCCCGGTACTAACAGTCTTTAGAGGCACCCCCGTGGGCTCCTGGTGTGGCGCTGTCAGATCAGCATTGGACGGTGAACCACAAGGTCAGCAGGTCAGACCACCAGATGCTACTTGGAAACCCAACGCAGGGTCACGCTGTGAATTGGAACTGACAACAACAGGCAATCCAGTGCAAACAGTTTGTGGAAGCTTGTTGCTCACCCCCACACACAATAGTGAACCAGCTAGATAGCAGGCAAATGCTAGGGAGTCTAGCCGGTAGGTGGTATCTGGTGGTCAGAGGGGAGTAGAAGGTGCTTTTGATGCCGCCAGCTCCGTGTGTCCACATCTCACATGCCCCCAGGACCCGTAGTTGCTCGGTGTGGGGATCTGTCTCATGACAGGCTGAGGAGCCTGCTGGGGACATGTGGTGAGGTTTGTATGCATACACTCGTGTGTGTGTGTGCTGGCTGGGAGCAGACCCCGAGTCTGATGTGCGGATCACAGGTTGTTTGTGTGTGTGTGTGTGGTCCAGGTACAGACCCCAAGTGTGATGTGCGGATCACAGGTTGTTTGTGTGTGTATATGTATGTGTGGTCTGGGTACAGACCCCAAGTCTGATGTGCAGATCACAGGTTGTGTGTGTGTGTGTGTGTGTGTGTATGTGGTCCGAGAGCAGACCCCCCCCCGAGTCTGATGTGTGGATCACAGGTTGTGTGTATATGTGTGTGTGTGGTCCGGGAGCAGACCCCGAGTCTGATGTGCAGATCACAGCTTGGATGGCTAGGATCCCGGTGGTGCAGGCAGGGAGGGAGATCCCTTGTGACAGGTGCTGTTCAGTTTGCACATTTGTTTACGGAGTATGGAGTCCCTGAGTGGGGCTGTCAACTCTGACTAAAAGACTGGAGGTGTGAGGTGCTGCAGAAGAAAGTCCTGGCAATCTGCTAAAAAGCCAGCCATTGAAAACCCTGTGAAGTGCGGTTCTACCGTGATGCACCTGGGGTCATTGTGAGCCACAGTGGATGACTGCTTCAGTCCAGAATGCATGGAACGCTGTCGGTGTGCCACGTCACAATCCTCCAGTTTTGTCTCCATGATTGTAGTTGGGAGGATGCCGGGGAGACCTTCCTGTTAGAACGGCTTTGCTGACGGCGTGGATGAGGGGGATGGATTGGAAGTCCAGGCCGGGGCTACTTGCTCCCACGGAAGTAAAACCTGCTGTGCCTTTCTTTTCAGGTGCATTCATCCCTGGAGTTCCTGTCCAGCCCGTGGTCTTACGGTACCCAAACAAGCTGGTGAGTTTTACCTTCCTGTGGATCCTCATCCTGGCGAGACTGTATGGCGAGATGTTTGAATGCATCTGTCTCCTTGTTGTGGACGGGTTATAGAAGCTCCCAGAATGCAGGACCAAATTCCTTGTACTCAGCCCAGAGTCAGGATGGGCCATGCCTACAGATCTGTGATGTTACACCCCAGAATTCTAGAACCTTTCCCGGCGTCCTCTTATACTGCCCGCCATCCCACGCTGCACTCGGGCAGCTGTAAGGTGGAGGTGTCTAGTTTCTGGAAGCCTGGAGGCAGCGGTGGGGAATAAATGAGACTTCATCATTGATGGAGATCCGTATCCATCTCCTCCTCTGGCTGGTAGGGCTCCCCTGAGAACACATACCAAGCCTCCACCGCATACTTGAAGCCCTAATTCACGCAAGTGTGAGTTCTGGGTGGAGCTAAGCAGTTAAGCCTCCCGGCAGCTCCTCCCTAAAAGGCTGGAGATTTGCTTCTGTCCAGAAGTACCTCAGGAGAAAGTCCTGGAGACCTCCTCTGAGTCCTCGGCCACAGAAACGCCCGCAGAGCACGGTTCTTTGTCGACACCTGAGGATAACAGTCGGACCAGCTCGATGGCCACTGGAAAGGCAGTGTTCATTTGCCGATTCTCGTACCTCCAATTGTGGCAGGGGTTTTTGGTGGTGCGTTTGTTCGCTCTAAGAGGAAGATGAAGGAATGGGTGAGACCCCTCCCTCAGCGGTGACAGCCAGGGGCTCTGTGTCTCGTTCTCCCATGAGGACCTGCTCCAGGTGCTATGTACAGGCGTTGTTGTTGTTAAATGCCATTGATTCAACTCTAACTCCTAATCCTGTGTAGGGTTTCTGAGAAGCAGCTGGTGGGTTTGAACTGCCGACCTTGTGGTTCGCAGTCCAGTGCTGATCCTACAACGCCACCCTAGGAGTCCTGAGGACTTTGTGCTGTTTTTCTTGTTAAGTGCCGCTGAGTCGATTCCAACCCATAACGATCCTGTACAGGGTTTCCGAGGAGCAGCTGGTGAGCTTGAACCACCAAACTTGCAGTTCAAACTGGCTCTGCAGTCCAGCGCATTAACCCACAGCACCACACCAGGACTCTGTGCCTGGTAGCAAATTGTGAGCCTCGTACTTCCCAAGGCCAGGTACTGCGTAGTGAATTGTAGGACCTTCCTCAGGTGCAATACACAGCCTGTGTACCTGGCAGGGAATTACAAGGCTTCACCCAGGTGCTGAGTAGGGTTTCTGTGCCTGCCAGGGAATTGTGGGACCTTCCCCAAGTACAGTGCAGAGCCTCCAATCCTGGCAGGGACATCAGCTTTTCCCTCCCCAGCCCCTAGAGCCGATGTGAGCAGAGTCCCCATGGGCACCCACTCAGAGCCAACTGCAGCTCCCTTTGGGACTGCCGTCCTCTCACCTCAACAAGCTTTGGGTGCTGACAGCTTAAAAACTGTCCACTCATGAAACTCAATCAATCCCCTTAGAGACTGACCCCACACTGCTCTCGCTGTAGTGTGTCTGGTGACTAGCCTCTGAGGAGAGAACTGACGAGGTGGGGTTACTAGTGTTGTTTCTCTCTGGTAGGGTTATTCTAGAAAGCACATCCAGGGTCTGGCATTGTAGGGTCCGGGGTTGCTGGAACACACCAGTGGGCTGGGGTGTCTGACTGTTTGGCTGTGCTGGGAAAAGTGGGCAGCATACCTGGGGGGCTCTGGTCAGCAGGGAGGGAGGGCAGCAGTCGGCCCTGGGATGACAGACCCGGGCTGTGTCAGAGCACCGGGACAAGACCCACTTGTCGTGAGTGTGGGGTGGGGAGCAGACAAGGGTTAGGTCTGAGGAGTGTGGGGTGGGGAGCAGACGAGGGTCAGTTGTGAGGAGACTGGGAGCAAGGACGCCACGGACAGGTGGTCTGGTTGGAATCCGGGCATTTGTTACCCAGCTTCCCAGCAGGCCGCTCATGTGATCTCTGAGACTGAGTGTTTGTGTCAGGCCAAGGTGGATGTGTCAGAAGTGCCCCAGGGCATGCATGGGTGGGGAGGTGCCACCGGCTGGGGAGGTTAAGGTGCCCGCAGAGACCAGGCCACGCCGGCTGGTGGGGAATGCATGAGTTGGGTTGATGCTGACCAGCCTGTTTGCAGAGGCAGCACAAGCAAGTTTGAGAGCAGATGGACCAGGAGGGCTGCCCAGTTAGACAGAGCAGGCATAGGGGAGGCGGAGCGAGAGTGGGGTGTGGCTTGCAGGAGAAAGATGCTGGTGTGTCTGCAGAAGGGTGTACTCAGCCTAAGGAATAGGGGACGTGGAAACCTTGCCTCCAAAGCAAACTCAGGAGCCAGGGAATGAGTGCGGGTCTCAGCGGGGCCCCAAGTACACAGGATGCGACAGGGATACAGGCCCCGGGACAGAGCGTGGGTTCCAACTCCAGTCACAAGTCACGACTAACTCTGCCCTTTGTCCCCTCCAGGACACCATCACATGGACATGGCAGGGACCTGGAGCGTAAGTCGTTACACCAGAGCCTCAGGGCACCCGTGTAGACACTTTAACCAAGTGACCCTGTGTTTGACCCTGACAGAGCTCCACCTGCTGTGGACTAAATGTACAGCTCTGCATCAGGACTGTCCATCGGGGGGATTCACTGTGAGGCTCAACCAGGAATTCTGGAGGACGCCCCATTTCCAACATGTACTAACATGAGGTGGGCGGTGTCAGTGTCTGAGGCCAGGAACTCCAGGAGCAAGGCTTAGGGGAGGGGGCCGTGACTGGGCTCACACAAGGGAGCTGCTGGTCACCTGTAGGGTCCAGGTTCAGGGCAGACAAGGCTTCCTGAACTAGGGCACAGGGCATGTCAAGTGAGAGCTGTCCACCCAGTCCATCAGTGTGTGTCAACTCTGGGATTTAGATCAGGAAGGTTCATCCTTCTCCCATGGAGAATCAACTACCCAGGAGTGTCCTCTAGAGGGAAAACCAATCCAGAAAGTCTCCCCCGGAATTGGAAGTTCTTTAATGGAAAAGTATGAAGACTCTTACTTGGTAACTAACGCATATCCTAAATCTCTCTCCTGTGTCCTTCTAGGTTGGAAATCCTGTGGCTCACACTTTGTCAGTTTCACAATCAGGTGGAAATTGAGGTTTGTGCAGATACAATGTTGCATGCTGTCTTGATACAAGGTTAAGTGTTGAATGGGCATTGAGGTGTTCCCTGCTGTCCTAATGAAGTGCCCCCCCCCCCATTCCTTCTGGATACAATGTGCCATGTTGTGCTGCCTAGAATTTACGCTCTGTCCCGGGGCATGTGTCCCTGTCGCATCCTGTGCACTGTTACCTGTCCATACAATACCCCATGTCATTTAGAATCCTTGCATCTAGAACATCTTTCCATTCCTTGGAACATCTTCCCATGCCCCCAGCATGAACTCGAACCATTCAAACTGGAATTTAGCAAGGAAGCTAAGCTTGTCACTGTTTCTATTACAGTTTCTGTAGCTTAGGTGCTGAGGAAACTGGCACTTAGGCAGTGAATCATTGTGTGGTTTCATTTGTATGCCCTGTACATGCATCCTGCTGATGTCACAGTGCTTTTCCTATGTTGGCTGCTGCCACCCTTCCCAGTGGGCAGCCTGTGACTGACTGTCTCTGGAGTCACAACTCTTGTCTTCCTGGCTCAGATACAAGCTCATTGATGCCACCTGTGAATTTTATATGAGGGTATGAGGAATCAGGTTTCTTTTCTTAAAAGGAGAATTAATACGCTACTCCTACACCTGAAAATTAAAGGTAACCATGTGCAACTTAAGTATGTAAGGAAACCATTTGCTATCTTCCAAAAACTACAGCCAAGTAACTAAATTTACAAATGATCCTGGTTTTCCCATTATGGGAGGTCGCTCGCATTAGTCAAATATGTTGTTGTTGTTAAGTTCTACTGAGTTGATTCCAACTCATTGAGACCCTATCTAGGGTTTCCAAGGCTATAAATCTTCCTGGGAGTAGAAGGCCTCATTTTTCTCCCACGAAGCAGCTGCTGGGCTCAAACCATCAGCCTTGTCCTTAGAAGTCCAGTACTTATCCTACAGAGCCACACAGCACTATAAAATACGTTGTTGTTAAGTGCTATGGAGTCAGTTGCAATTCATAGTGATTGAGGGTTTCCAAAGAGTAGCTGGTGGGTTTGAACCACTGACCTTGCAGTTAGAAGTCCAGTGCTTATCCTACAGCACCACACCAGTACTCTAGAAGAATGTTAAGTTGGTTCCGACTCACAGCAACCCTGGTTAGGGCTTCCGAGGAGCAACTGGTGGGTTTGAACCAATTCAAAGTGACCTTGCTGATCAGTGCATTATCCTACAACACCACACCAGGACTCCCCTGTAAAATATAGGGCCTTATCATTAGATAAGGAGCTCTGGTAGCGTAGTGGTTACGAATCAGGCTGTGAACCACAAAGTCATCAGTTTGAAACTACCAGCTGTTCCACGGGAGAAAGATGAGGCTTTCGGCTCCCGTAAAGATTTATAGCCTCAGAAACCCTGGTCGCTATGGGTCAGAACTGACTTGACGGCACTTCACACCAACAGTTATTAGAAAGGACTGAACAGTAAGGGCCCCAGCCCGAGTCTGTTGCTTAGGGCATGCTCTGTTCAGAAGGAGCATCTGCCCTGCTGTCCGCTCACACAGAGCCTTGGGGTCAGTCTGCTTACCAGAGCACAAGGCACTTGACAGCTCAGAGCCTCTCCAGGGTTTCCTTTTGCTTTGTTTTGAACAGCTACATTTCAGACCTTTTTCTAACTTTAAGAGCTGAAACGCTATGGTTTGCGCACATGGGAAATGTGAACATTTTTACTCCTCTTCCTGGTTCCCACATCTGTTCGTGTGAGAAACGAGAGGCATTTGCAGACGTTTTTATAGTGTAGTGGAAAGTGAATGATTGTTGTTGTTGTTAGGTGCCATCGAGTGGGTGCCAACTCACAGTGACTCTGCACAATAGAACAAAACCCCACCCGATCACAGCCGCTGCCATGGTGCCAATCCATCCCCCCCTTCTCCAACCCTCCACTTAACCAAACATGAGATCCCTCTCCAATGACTGTCCCTCCTGACAATGAGTCTAAAGTATGAAAGATACAGTAGGAATGATCGGAACTGCATGAAAGCGACTGGGTCCTCAGACCTGAAGTTCTTATGGCCCCGAATAGCCATGTAAAAGAGAGGGACTTGCCCCATTGGTCTCTTGCTTTTCACCGTGTGCATCGTGACTCCCTATGTGAAGACACTTGTTCACGTGACCGTTGATTTTCATTATGAAATGCAATGGCTGGCAAGCAGCGAACCCATGACCTTTGTTCTGCACAGTCCCTCACACACACTGGGAGCTTTAGGAACAACTTCATGCCCGTCAGCTTCTGCATTGAAGACCAGCGGAGTGTGAGAGGAGAGGCAGGGCATGGGCAGCCCCACAGGCTTCAGACACAGGAGTGGGAGCTCCGGGTGTTTGAAACGTTCTCCCCGAATGTGCTCCCGCCAACAAGACTGGTTCCAGGTGCACCGTGCCCATGTGGGGTTTGGTCAGGGGGTGCTCTGCTCCCTAGCACTAACGTGGCTCTGTGTGTATAGTTCCTACCAGTGTACCATCCCTCCGAGGAGGAGCAGAGAAACCCAGCGCTCTATGCCAGCAACGTGAGGCGCATCATGGCAAAGTAAGTCCGCTCACTCCCCCTCCTCTGTCGCCACACCCCCACATGGCTTTGAGCAGCAAGGGGGCTCCTATCATGTCACATCCCTCCCCAGTGCTGACCCTCTCCCCCTCCGGGAGAGCTGGGAAGGTGGGGCCCTGCGTAAGTGGGGGCATGCGCAGTATCGCATGCTGCCCAGCGCAGCCGTGACTGTGCACTTTACGTGTCCGGATGTTGCCTGGCATTTCCTGTCTTTCAGAAGAAGATGTCATTTAGTTTGACACATTTCAAACATTCCCTGTCGGAGCTGGCAGTGAGAATGACCTAGGAAGCCTGCTGGCTCTGGCTTTCCCTCACTCTACCTCCAGCGCCAGCTGTGTTGATTGTGCGGCTCGGTGCGTGGCTCTTGTAAGACGATATGGTTTGCCCTCATGTGAAATGTGAACATTTCAGGTAGCCACGCGCATGCGTGCAATTAGGAACATAGACACTGTGCGTCCTTTGTGCAGACATTGATTGCCCAGTTGTTGCCGGCGGTGGTAGCATCTGCTTACAGCTTCTCTCGGCGCCTCTCTGAACTCCTTAGATCCCTCGGTGCCCATTCTCCTCTCCTTCTCCTCTTCTCACCTCTTCTCCTGTCCATGGGCAGGAAGGGCTGCCTGAGTTCCTCCCACCACGTGCTGTGGACGGTGGTAGCAGCATTGACAGGGAACAGTGAGTGTCTCGATCCCAAGGACAGAGGGGAGATGGACCCGGGTGGTCCAGCCTGCTGAGGGCCGCAGTGTGGATGGCAGGGGTGCCGTCCTGTGACTCTGGCCTTCTGAGACAAGTCATTTTTCTCTCAGTGCTTGACATGCCCCCATTTTAGTACAAGGGTACATCACCAAGTATTGCTACAAAGGTTTCAGAAGGTGAAGCTGTTGTTTCTCCACCTACCCTTCCTTTAGGCACGTGCTTAGACATCTGAAGGTAGTGTTTCCATCTCTCTGACCCTTCCCTTTCTGCAGGCTTCAATTTACACATCAAAACAGCAGTTTGGGCATCCTTGAGGAACTCAAAGTGTGTTCTTTTGAATTGAGGGCATAAAAAGAAGTCTGAAGATCAGGGGTATAGGGTGAGTGAGGTAAGGTTTCCCCATAGAATTCTGGTAGGACCACCCTCGCTACCCTTGAAGAATGGGCAGGTACATTGTCCTAATGGGAACAAATTCCTGGGCTCCACTTGCCTGGCCTGTTTCTCACCAATGTAGTTTTTAATTTTCTTAAAACCTCTTCAATAATAAGCCCTGTGTCTTACAGAAAGCGCCCCCCAAAAAGCACTCACCCAAACATTCTGAGCTGACCTCTTTGCCATGAATATAACTTACCCAGTAGATCCCCCCAAATTCCTTAACTGGACTGTCTTGGTGTTAAGTGTTGTCGAGTTGATTCCGACCCACAGCAACCCTTTATAGGGTTTCCAAGGAGCAGCTAGTGAGCTTAAACCACCGACCTTGCAGTTCAGACGACTTTGCTGTCTGAAGCATTAGACCACAGCACCACACCAGGTCTTCTTGAGGGCCCCCTAATGAGAGTAAGAGACAAGTATGGCTGAGAAAACCTGTCTACAGCCATCACAGGCATGTTTAAGCATGTTTTGTTACCTAGAAGCCTGGTAGCAGTGCGTTTTGCCTTCTCCTCGTAGCATAAAACCATCTCACCTTGGCACAGGTGAACTGCAGCTCTGTCCGCTGACTGTCCACATGCTCCTCGGAAGGTTAAACTTTAGGGGCAGACCACTTAAGCCCGTTCCCTCCCTCCTGGGAGCACCCGCACTCTCTGGAGCTGCCTTTCTTCTCAGAATCGCCCATGAACTCACATGGGGAGCACTCAATGGTCAGCTTGTGGGCAGTCGGAGCAGCCCACGGCAGCCCCCAGAATCGCAGCCTGAGTGAAATTACGTCAGTTCACTCTCAGATACATTAACTATGTGGAGTTGCTGTCCTTGGTAGGTGCCACTGAGTCCATTTCTATTCCCAGTGGCTCCAAATGAGTGGCCCTGAGGGGTCTTGGCTAAGATCATTTATGAAAGCAGCCTGTCAGACCTTTCAGCTCTGCAGCACTGGGCAGGGTTAGCCTTTGGGTTAGCAGTTGAGTGCTTTAACTGTTGTGCCCTCTGAGCTCCGTGTTCTTGTTGTTAAGTGCCATCAAGCCAGTTCTGATTTGTAGGATGACGCATGCACAACCCAATGAAGCACTGCCTGGTCCTACACTACCCTCAGAATTGCTGTTACGTTTGAGCCCATTGCTGCTGCGCCGGCAGCTGTGCCTATCTACCTCCTTTTTCCTTGACCTTCTACTTAACCGAGCATGATGTCCTTCTCCAGGGACTCATCCCTCCTGACAGTGTGTCCGAAGAATGTGAGAAGTGCCATCATTCTTTCTTACGTCTCTACTTCTTCCAAGACAGATTTGTTTATTCTTCTGGAAGTCCATGTGTTGTTCAGTGTTCCTCAACAAAGGCATCAAGTTTTCTTTACTTTTCTCATTCACTGTCCAGCTTTCGTATGCATATGTTGTTGTTGTTGTTAAGTGCCGTCGAGTCGGTTCCGACCCATAGCGACCCTGTACAGGGTTTCCGAGGGTGTAAATCTTTACGGGAGCAGAAAGCCTCATCTTTCTCCCGCGGAGCAGCTGGTAGTTTTGAACCGCTGACCTTAAGGTTCGCAGCCCGATTCGTAACCACTACGCTGCTTTCGTATGCATATGAGGTGGTTGAAAATACCCTGGCCTGGGTCAGGCTCACCTTAGTCCTCACACTGATGTCTTTGCTTTTTAGCATCTTAAAGAGGTCTTTTGTAGAAAATGTGTCTCGTGCATTACTTTGTTTAATTCCTTGACTGATGCTTCCATAGGCGTTGGCCATAAATCCAAACAAAATGAAGTCTTTTGACAATTTATCTTTTCTTCATTGATATGGATGTTGCTTATTGGTCCAGCAGTGAGAATTTATGTTTTCTTTACACTGAGGTGCAATCCATACTGAAGACTGTGGTCTTTGATCTTCATCAGTAAGTATTTTAAGTCCTCTTGGCTTTCAGCAAGCTAGTCCTGCTGCCAGGTTCTAGGCCAGTTTCTCAGATTATTTGTTCAGCACACAGATTGAATAAGTGTGGTGAAAGGGTACAACCCTGGTGCCCACCTGGTGCTCACCCGATTCCCTGTCCCCTTGTTCTGTTCGAACAACTGCCTCTTGGTTCCTCATAAGCACAATTAAGTGTTCTGGGATCCCCATTCTGTGCAATCTTGTCCATAACTTGTCATGATTTGCACCGACACACACCCCTCGCGCTGTCCCACTGAGGGCATGAAGCAGGTGGTAAGGGAGCCCGGGGTGCCCTGCCAGAGAATGAGGATGAGTTCGGCAGGGCTCCCAAACGAATGTCGAGTGTGTGAGGGTGGTGAACACAGAGCCCCAGCTCCCTATGATTCTCTCCTCTCAGCCCGACCAGCAGGCCAGAAGGCCCCCGACCTCTGGAGCCCACACCCGAGAGAGGAAGAGCTTTTCCTAGCTCTGCGTGGGTGAGGGAGACCTGCGGGAGAGCTGACAGTGAGGGGTGGCACATGCCAATCTGACCCCGGTGGGGTGGGAGAGCTGACAGTGAGGGGTGGCATGTGCCATTCTAGCCCTGGTGGGGTGGGAGAGCTAACAGTGAGGGGTGGCGCGTGCCAGTCTGACCCCAGTGGGGTGGGAGAGCTGACGGTGAGGGGTGGCGCGTGGCAGTCTGACCCTGGTGGGGTGGGAGAGCAGGAGAAGACTCTGTGGGCCACAGGTTCTCCCTCCATGCTGCCCCAGGTATGTGTCAACAGGAAATGCATGTTCTTCTGTTGGAATTGACTGGAAGTCACCTTCTGTGTTACACCGGGAGTAGAAGTCACACTAGGGACCATGAGCCCGTGAAAGCTTGAGTTAGAAAGGATGTCCTTCAAGTCAAGTGTGTCTTCAGATACCTTTGTGCTTTGGGTGGTTTACAAAGGGCTCTGAGCTGCTGGACAGTTTGTTCTGCTGCCTCCTGGGAGCTGAGTACTTGGGGTCCCTGGGTCACCTACGGGGGGCACACCCTGGGGGGCTCTTAGTGCAGAGCTAATGCTCATCCCGGGCCACCCGCCTGTCAGGAGGTCAGTTCTTCCTGTGGCCCGCCCTCCCGCCGTGGCTGCCCTCTGAGTCTCTCGGAGGGCTGCTGAACAGCAGTGCCATGTGGGGACTCAGCCCCAGCCGCCACTCCAGCTGCAGGGGAAGACACTGCGAAGCTCTGGAAGGGGTCCTGGTCTCAGCGCCTGTACCTGGGCCTTCCTCGGTTCCTTGGCCATCTCCACATGGTTTCTTTCTTCCCCTGTTTTGCTGACTTTCTGTGTCCGATCTGGTTTTTCTGTCTCAGAAGGGATAAGGCTCAGGATCCATCCTGCACTGGGGAGGGCTCGTTAATGTCACAAAGGAAGGCCCCTGTCTCCAAGCAGGATTACATCATAGGTGGAGGGCTGATTAGGATTCCAACATGGGGTTTGGCGGGACGCAGTTTCCCTCCTCAACAGGTGGAAGGAGGAGTTAAGATTCCAACACTGGGATTAGGGGCACAGATCCACCCCTAGAAGCCCCCATCTGCCCTCATGTCTCCTTTGTGTAACATTTCCCTTGCAGCAATGCTGTGTATCGACTGAAGAGTGAAAACCCAAGAGCCTTAGCATTGTGCTCTTTGCTGCAGAGACCAAGCTGCTCCGTAGGCCCCCCCCACCCCACCCCCGGGGAGGAAGCACCTGCCTCATGGGCACACAGCACCCGTGTGGATGGCTGGGGTCTCAGAGCCCATGGTGACCAGAGCCCCCACGGTGACCAGACACTGTTGTCTTTAATGCTGCCCACCCCTGTGCCGATTGTCCCAATGGCAGGCAGGATGTCATTTCCTGTCCCCACCCGGTGTCTGTGCTGCGCTGGGAGGACTCCCCTGCTAACACCCCTGTGTGTCCTCCGACGTGCAGCCTGAGCTCTCCCTGTTTTGTGACATTGAGTGCCCCTGAAGAGGGTGGCAGGGAGCGAGCGACTCTGCAGAGCTGCTTCATGATCAGACTGTTCCTCATCTCTCCCACAGGGCCCTGGGCGTCCCTGTCACAGATTACACCTTTGAGGACTGCCAGCTGGCCCTGGCAGAAGGACAGCTCCGTCTCCCCTCGGATACTTGCCTTCTGGAATTTGCCAGGCTTCTGCGAGGCCTTGGGTGAGCTAGCCATGAATTGTTAATGGGAAATGGCCCTGCGGCTCCAGACTTGAGGCTCTTTCAACTGGAGACCCTCCAGATAGAAGTTCGGGGGACCATGAAAGAAATGCAGATTCTCAGACCAGGGTGTCCCTGGGGGTGCAAATGGTTAGTGCACTTGGTTACAAGCCAAAAGGTTGGAGCTTCGAGACCACACAGGTACCCCAGAAGAAAGGTTGGCATTCAACTTCCAGAAAGTCAGACCCTGGAAACCCTGAGGAGCACAGTTCTCCTCTGACACTCACAGGGTCGCCAGAGTTAGAATCCACCCGACAACCAGACACCCTGTCCACAAATCCTGATCTCCCGGCTGTGATCCATGAAGAGTCTCCCGGCTGTGATCCATGAAGAGTATAGTTCTCCTCTGACACTCATGGGGTCGCCAGAGTTAGAAACCACCCAACAACCAGACACCCTGTCCACCAATCCCGATCTCCTGGCTGTGGTCCCTAAGGAGCACAGTTCTCTGACACTCATGGGGTTGCCAGAGTTAGAATCAACCCGACAACCAGACACCCTGTCCACCAAACCCGATCTCCCAGCTGTGGTTCCTGAGGAGCACAGTTCTCTGACACTCACGGGGTCACCACAGTTAGAATCCACCAGACAACCAGACACCCTGTCCACCAATCCCGATCTCCCAGCTGTGGTCCCCAAGGAGCACAGTTCTCTAGCACTCATGGGGTCGCCAGAGTTAGAATTCACCCGACAACAAGACACCCTATCCACCAATCCCGATCTCCTGGCTGTGATCCTGGCGAGCTGGACTTGGGTGAAGATCCCTGGTGACCTCCACTTGGCTGAACAGACGAAAATCCCTATGCATAGAGCATTGACTCTGGGCCAGGCTGTCCCCAAGGCTAACAGCCAGTGCCGGTCACCATGTCCTCTGCAGAACCACATGTAGGCCCAGCGGTTGCCTCTAAAGGCCAGTCTGTATAGACACAGGGCTGGGCTAGTAGCAGAGACATCTTTTTGGACGTAGCCCCTCCCAGCCCTCTGCAGCCCTGGTGGACCCCCAGGTGTTGGCCATGCAGCCGGACAAGGGACGCTCCATGCCCATGTCCACAGTGGTGGGTAGGTGCTCTGGGCTCCCCAGATTGCAGAGAGGTACAAACCCCTGTATGGACGTTTAGGAAAAGTACAACAGGCACTGGCACATGGTTAGAAGGGTTTTTGTTTTTTTAAATGAACTTTTTGCTTGTTATACAAATAATTTCAAGATTTCATTCTATTATAAAAACCGATGACATTCAATGTCTTGTTTTTTGTTGTTGTTACTAAGTGCCGTTGAGTCGGTTATAACTCATAGTGACCCCTATATAGGTTTGCAAGGAGCAGCTGGTGAGTTTGAACCGCTGACCTTGTTCAAACCGACCTTGTGGTCAGAAGCTTTATATCAAAGTGCCACACCAGGACTGACGCCTGTTTTTTAGCATTTGGGCATTTTGCTTGGGATAAAATAAAAAAGAGCTCGTTCCCTCTTTTTGTTTAGGCTGAAGCCAGAAAAACTTGAAAAAAATCTGGGTAAATATGCAGAAAGTGCCAAACTGAAGAGCAGTGAGAAGACCAACTTGTCAGAGTTCTCGGCGTACTTGGAGGTCCCCTCATCCGACACGCTGGAAGCCATGTTCTCCCTGTTTGACGAGGTGGGGACCCTTGCTGGTCTGTCTAACAGTAACAACCTAACACATCATTTCCTCTCCCATCCTTTTCCGTCTTTTTTAGCCTAAAACAGCCTTTCCTGATAGACCTGTCTGTGGTTTTGTTTGTTTGATTCAGTATACTAAAAAGCTCATTGCTCTCAAATAGCAGATCCTGCCCAACATGGTCTCTCCAGGGTCTCCCAGTCCTACTGGGTTTTCTAAACACCACACCACTTGCCCCTTTAGGGGGTTCTTGCCGGCTTTCTGTGGGGTAGAGAACAACCACCCCACTTCATGGACGAGATTTTAGTTTTGAAAAGTGAATGAAGAATGAAATGAGAAGTTGGTGGATGTGTGCTACGCCCTGCAGCGCCCTCTGGTGGTTCTAACATGCACAGCGTTTTTATTTTCCGGTTGGTAAGTGCCATGATGTGGCACTGTGGGCTAATGTGTCAGACTGCAAGGCTGTTTGAACTGCAAGGTCGGCGGTTCAAGCTCACCAGCTGCTCCTTGGAAACCCTATACAGAGTCGCTATGAGTCGGAATCGACTCGACAGCACTAAACAACAACAACAAGTGCCATGGGGAATCATTTCTTACAGCACCCTGGATAGGGTTTAGGAGGAGTGGCTGATGGCTTTGAACCACCCATCTCGCCGGTGCCTATCCTTCAGCACCACACCAGGACTCCAGGAGTTCATAACTGCACCATTTGTTTGCTGCGTACCTAACCCGGTGTCCTGCCCAGCCCATCAGCCCTGTTGAATGCTCAACGTTGATGCTGATTCCCAAGGCCACCAAAGGGCCAGATGATCCATGGATTTTTCCTGGTGGCCTCGCTCCTCCTCCCTGCTCCTCCTCCCCACCTGGACCTACTGCTCTGACCCCCCTGCAGCTGTCATCCTGGGGACGTGGGGGCGGTCTTCTCATACTGCTTCTCCACCCTCGAAGAAGTGCCGTCAAGTCATTTCTGACTCAAAGCCATCCAGTATAGGGTTTCCCAGGAGCGGCTGACCTCGCAGTTCAAACCGACCTTGCGGTCCAGTGCTGATCCCACAGCACCACACCAGGACTCCAAAAGAAGTGGAAGGTTGTTTGTTGTTGTGTGCCATGGAGTTGGTTCTAACTCATAGCGACCCTGTACAGGGTTTCCGAGGCTGTGAATCTTTATGGAGCAGAAAGCCTCATCTTTCTCCCACAGGACAGCTGGTAGTTTCGAACTGCTGACTGTGAGATTTGCAGGCCGATTCATAACCATGGGGTCGTCGTGAATAGGGTCGGCTGTGACGCCGAGCTTGGTGTTTGGCTGACCTTGTCCCTGGTGGTCATGGTTGCCACGGAGTCGGTTGTGATGCATGGCGCCCCCCGGTGGGTCAGAGTAGAACTGCTCCATAGGGTCTTCTGGGTGGGTTTGAACTGCCAACCTTCAGCTAGCAGTAAAGTGAATAATATTTTGTACCACCCAGAGACTCCCAGGTGGTTCTAACTTTGGAAATTAATGCAACAGCCCTTAAAATGTATGTGGGTGTAATTGAGAACTGGCTGGTTATGAAACTGTTCTTTGAGGGCTATTTTCATTTAGTCTTCAAGATGATGAAGTCAGACTTTACCCAGCTGTCTAACTAATGCCCAGTCTTTACACACTGGGTGGCAGCTAGACTGCCCCCTCAGGCTGTCTTCTCTCCACAGAACGGCAGCGGCAAGATAGACCTGCGGGAATACGTGATCGCCCTGTCCGTGGTCTGTAGACCATCCAGGACTCTGGACACCATACAGCTGGCGTTTAAGGCAAGTCTGACTTCACTGTTAGGTCCCATCTGTGTGAGCAGTCTGTCTGTCTGTCTTAACCCAGAGGGAGGCAAACCCTCAGTTGAAAGGCATGGTCCCCACAAGACTGACTTCACTTCTAATGGCACCTGGGGTCCTGGGGCCCCACTTTCTCTTCTAACCAATTGGCTACACATTCAGGGGTCCCACAACCCCTCGACTTCAAGAGTTCGCTAGAACTGTGGCTCACTGAGCCCAGGAAAGCCCCTGTACAACATCTGGTTTTCTCACAGCAAAAACACACCAGTCAGAAGCAGCCCATGGGAGACAGGTGTGGGGCTGGGACGGATGCCTCACCCTCCTAGCCAGCCAGGGGAGCGCGCTCCCCGTTTTTCTTGGGGTACCATCATGTAGGAATGGCTCGTGGAACCATGGGCTGCATGACAGGACTCAGCTTCCAAGAGGGCACCCTGATGTCACCAGGCCCCAAGCCCCAGCCTTGTAATTGCACAGTGAGCCGCCACCTATCTACCTCCTTACTCCTTAGTGCCAACTGGTGTAGGGGGTGGGGTGTCCATGGGCCCCTATCAATAACAGACTCTCTCCCACCTCCAGAAATTCCACAGGTTGAGAGAGGTTCCCCATCAGAACCGATCAGTTCTGTATGGTACGTTTGTTATCTGTCACATATGCTGTGTGAACCCTGGGTTTGAAAGGCCCAGGACATTTCAAACTAGGGTGAGCAGTGCACACTCACATCAAGGGTAGAGACTGACGCGGGGCCCCACTCAGTGCTTCTCACCAGCTCGGCTCTTGCCTTTAGCCACTGAGGGAAGTAGCGCTTAGAAAGCTAAGGAGCTGGGATCAGCCCAAGGTCAAGGTCTTCTCCACTGACAGGAAGGGTGCAGGGGTTCTGGGAGTGGCCAGGTCCCTGTCTGCCGGGGACCAGCCTCGACAATTTGTGAGAACTTGGAGGGGGCTATGGATTCGGTGAATGATAAAAATAAAAAAAATACTCAAAGAGTCAATGGGTCATTTTGAGTCTCAGGCAGATGGTGGTAATGGCTCTCTGTGATGACTCTCTCACTCTCTGCTGCCACCTTCTTTATTTCAAAACTGTTGCTTCTTATATCCCATTTAGAATATACTATGATCTCATAACAGCCACGTACAAGCAGTTACAAATCAATCAAATATTATATTGTTACATCAACAGTACAAGAGGAACACGAGGTCACCAAACATTCCTGCGTCTCTATGCTCCTTAGTTACCGTGATAACATCTGCCTTCTATGAGCGACGCTGTTTCTCTCTAATCCTCCCTAAAATGTCAGGTTAATTTTAAACAAAGTTCTACATCTTAATTTCTAACTTTACCAACAACTATTACTTTCTATAGATTCATTAGTTACAGTTCACAATCAAAAACATAATTTTTACTATAACTGGTCATACATATAATTGATTTAACAATAAAAACAAGAACATGAAAGTACCCTAAAGTTTCATAGTTAAGAAAAAGTAGTAATTCTCTCATGCTAACAATTTCTCAAAACTTCTAATCAAACTCTTGCCTCTGTTCCCAAGCTCTCACTGCCCTTGACTGTCTCCTAAGCTGCTTTCTAAAGGCCTTAATGTCCTTGACTAAAACCACCTGGAAGGTTTCTTACAATTTTAAGCTTGAATTGCTAAAACTTAGCTAGTGTGATTATATCTAATGTTAAAACTTACTGTTAGTGTGAAAAACAATTTTTATAATTGCATAAGATTGAATATGGTGTGGAAGTTAATATTAATGTGAAAGGCAACTATTATAGCGTGAGGTTTGTTTAAAGTATCTAATGATTATGCAAGATTTTCTAAAACTTCTTATAAGGAAATCGGAAATAAACTATTTTCCCCAGGGAAAGCTACAAACCATGGGTCCCCTGCATGAATCATCCCTTGTATCGCTGCTAACCAAGGGGAACATTCATTGTCGCTCTGCTAAACAATGAACTTTTCATGCATAAGGCTTCTCGCTGTTCTGCTCCTTGGCAGGATGGCGTCCGCCACCTGTCCACTTGCAGAATCACCTGCCTCATGCAGACCTAGGAAGGAGCCAGGTGTGGCTCTGCCCATCATGCCAACACAGCAGGTTTTCTTGAAGGTGTGACTCACACTAGCCAGACTCATGCAAGCCTAATGTGTGTGTCTGCTTGTCTCTCTGCTCGGGAAAGCCTTCTCTTGCTCTGTCCTCAATGTAGCCACTCCACAGCCCCTCTGGGAAATCTAGCTACAGTCCTCCGGGGACTCGTGGGACATGACTGCATGATGTAAGTGTTTGGGAGCAGCAGCTATGAAAACTTGTTCCGTGTTGTCCAGACAGAGGCCCTGCGGCTCTGGGCAGCCTGCTCGGACACTCTCAAGCCACCATAAAACCCCAAAGCCAGTTTTGTTGAGTTGATTCTGTCGCACAGTGACCTTGGAAGACGGACCATCCAAGGCTGTAATCGCCTTTGTGGAAGCAGAGTGCCTCAGCTTTCTGAGCGGCTGGTGGGTTTGAACTGCCTTCCTCACGGTTAACCGCCAGCACTTTAACCAGTGTACCAGTACCATGTGCTCACCCTGGGGCCAGGGGAGGGAGGGACTTGTTTTCCAATGGACCCAGCACTGTGTGGTGCCTGAGGTCCCTCCTGATGAGGTGCTGAGGGTCTCACCTGTAGGGGGCAGCTAGCTACAGTCTGCAGAGGGAGGTGCTGGTGGACCACCGACCCCATCAGATCCTCCATGGGGGAAGCCACCCAGCCTCTTGGACAGCGTTGACAGCCGCTGCCTTGGGCAGGAAGGGAGCCGTTCCTGTGGCTGGCTGCGTGGACAAGTTGTGTCCCCACCGTGGTGCTGGCAGGACCACACCAGCCTGCTCTGCAGACATTCCCGTGGTGTGGACTTGTGAGTAAGGGTACCGGTCTCCTTCTCAAGCCCCCCTCCTGTCCCTGCCTATGCGTGTATTGCTCATGGTGTCAGTATTTGCCAACGACATGGACACCATCCTGTCGGACGCCCCAGGTAGCATGTTCAGGGTGAGTGTGTGGGGTCAGCGCTCGGCCTCCCACAGGGCGGGCGCACGTAAGGGAAACCCTGTTATCAGTCAGCGCCCATGAATTGTTTATGTTGTCCAGCCAAGTCCGATGCATAGCGAGCCCATGTGACTCTGGAATTGTCCCGTAGGGTTTCCCTGGTTATCATGTCTACGAGAGCAGATCACCAGATCTTTCTTCCACATGGTCCCTGGCGGGTTTCAAACCACCAACCTTTCAGTTAACAGCCAAGCACTTAACCACTGTGCCATCCTGTGGTGGTGGTTATGTGCCGGGGAGTCGATTCCGACTCATAGCGACCATGTACAGGGTTTCCAAGGCTATGAATCTTTACAGGAGCAGAACGCCTCTTCTTTCTCCCACAGAACAGCTGGTAGTTTCGAACTGCTGACCTTGAGGTTCGCAGTCCGACTTGTAACCACTACGCTACCAGAGCTCCTGTGCCCTCCTGTAGAACTTTCCTAATTTACAACTGAAAACTCTCAGGCTGGTTGGTAAGAAACTGAACCCTATTTACAGTAGCACTGAACAGGCCTAGGGCACGAGCAGACGCATGTGGCATTCCAGAAGCAGGACTCACAAACATTGTTGAACCCCTTGTTTTTGCTTTCTTAGTTACTGCTATAAAAAGCTTTACATTGTAGAAATCCTGAAAGCTCAGAAACGTGGGCAATGAAAATCCAGAGGGCCCTGTCTGCCCTGTCGTGGCCCCTGTCCTTCTTGTCAGCCTCTTTTTAAAAGAAATTCCTAAAAACAGAACAAAAATCAGTGCATTAACACAACATCTCCAACAATTAGAAAAAGACCAGCAAAGTGAGCCTACAGTCACCAGAAGAAAAGAAATAATAAAGATTATAGCAGAAACAAACAAGATAGGAAACAGAAAAACTGTCCAGAAAATCAGCATTACAAGAAGCTGGTTCTTTGAAAGGATTAATGAAATTGACAGACTGTTGGCAAACCTAACAGAAGAAAAAAGGGAGAAGACACAAGTAACATGCATAAGAAACTACAGCAGAACCAATAGAAGTAAAAAGGATAAGAACAAAATGCTATCAAGAGTTGTACTCCTAGAAAGTTGAAAAATCAAGAGGACATGGATGCATTTTTAGAAGAAATTTCTGAACACAACTGTACCGACAGTGAGCCATCAGAGCTGGAACTCGGTTGGATCGGTCTTGTTTTTCCAGGTCTTCCAAGTTTTCCGCTTTTGACAGGGTGCAGTATTAGCACTATTCTATGGCTGTCTGTTGTTGCTGTTGTTAAATGCCATTGAGTCCGTTCCGACCCATGTGTAGGGTTTCTGAACCACCAACCTTGCGGTTCAAACCAACTTAACAGTCCCGCACGTTAACCCTCAGCGCCACACCAGGACTCCATGTTGCTCTGTTACTGGGAAATATTTGGGTTTCCCTTCTCTGGAGGGTTTTCACCTTACTTGGGTTCCAGCTTTCGCAGGTTATACTCTACAGATCATCCCCAATGTAAAACGGGGTTCTGTGCCAACAACCCCATTATAAGTGTGTTGTTACGTAAACCGAATGCCTTTAGTTTTTACGGTTTACGATTGCTTCTTTTATAATCACTATCTTTGTCAACCCCATCTTGATTTGTCTTTGGAGGTTGGCATGAAAATGAAGACATCAACAAATTATGAGCTACAATTTTGTGGTGGTGGTTATGCCGTGGAGTCAGTTCCAACTCATAGCGACCCTGTATAGGATTTGCAAGGAGCTGCTGGTGAGTTTGAACTGCGGACCTTGTGGCTCACAGTTCAGTGCTGATCCTACAACACTCTGGTGCAATATTGCATGTAGTACTCATTGCTTACTAGTACTACACAGGAATCCTGATGTGGCACTGTAGAATAAGCACTGAACTGCAAGGTTGGTGGTTCAAACTCAACAGCTGCAACTCATAAACCCTGTACAGGGTCACTATGAGTCGGAACCAACTAGAAGACACTTTAACAACAACACTGTTGTATGTAGATTACTGATGGTAAATGCCATAGAGACGGTTCCGATTCATAGCCACCCTGTATAGAGTTTCGCTAGTCCTCTACAATATTGAATAAAGTACCTTCTGCTTACTAGAACTCTGCAGTATTGCATGTAGTACTTCTTTAGTTAAGAATACTATAGAGCAAGCTTGTATCATCTGCATATGGCAGGTTGTTAATGAGTCTTCCTCTAATCCGGATGCCATGTTTTCCTTCATAGAACCCAGCTTCTCGGGTTATTTGCTCAGCATACAGGTTGAATAAGTATGATGAAAGAATACAACCTTGTGACACACATTTCTTAATTTTAAACCATTCAGTGTTCCCATGTTCTGTTTGAACAAACTGCTTCTTGGTCCAGGTACAGATTCCTCATGAGCACAATTAAGTGTTCTGGAATACTCATACTTCACAATGTTGTCCATAGCTTGTCATGATCCACACAATCGAAAGCCTTTGCGTAGTCAGTAATGCAGTTAAGCATCTTTCTGGTATTCTCTGCTTTCAGCCACGATCCATCTGACATCAGCAGTGTTATCTATCCCTTCATCCACGTCATCTTCTGAATCCGGCTTGAACCTCTGGCAGCTCCCTGTCAATGTGCTTGCAGCCATTCTTTAAATTACCATTAGCATTAATGATATTGTCTGATGATTTCCACATTCCATTGGGTCACCTGTCTTTGGAATGGGCACAAATAGGATTTCTTCCAATCAGTTGGCCAGGTAGCTGTCTTCCAAATTTCTTGGCACAGATCAGATGAGTGTGAGTGTCTCCAGTACTGCATGTTTTTTTTGAAAGATTTCAATTGGTATTAGATCAATTCCTGGAGCCACATTCTTTGCCAATGCCTTCAAAAAACTAAGAGGACTTAAAGTACTTACTGATGAAGATCAAAGACCACAGCCTTCAGTATGGGTTGCACCTCAATATAAAGAAAATAAAACTTCTCCCCACTGGACCAATAAATAACATCAAGGTTAAAGAGAAAAGATTGAAGTTGTCAAAGGTTTCATTTTGCTTGAATCAGCTAGCCATCAACCCTCATGGAAGCAGCAGTCAAGAAATTAAATGACATATTGCATCAGGCAAATCTGCTGCACAAGACCTTTTTAATGTGTTGAAGAGCAAAGATGTCAGTTTGAGGACTAAGGTGCACCTGACCCAAGCCATGGTATTTTCAATAACCTCATAATACATGTGAAAGTTGGGCAGTGAATAAGGAAGACCATAGAGGAATTGATGCATTTGAGCTATGGTATTGGAGCGTATTATCTTTGGCCAAAAGAACAAAGTCTGTGTTAGAAGTACAGCCAGAGTGGCCTTAAAAGCCAAGATGGCCAGACTTCATCTCTCATATTTAGGGCATATTGCCAAAGGGACCATTCTTTTGAGAAGAGCATCATGCTTGGTAAGTGGAGGGTCAGCAAAAAACAGAAAGACCCCTATGAAACAAATTTGCACAGTGGCAGGAGCAGTGGGCTCAAGTATAACAACAATTGTGAGGTTGGCCCAGGACTGGCCAATATTTTATTCTGTACTGCATACGGTCACTGAAGCAGAACCATCTCAGCATACAAGTGATGGTATTGCTTAGTAGTATCCTACAATATTGGACGCCTGTTAGTTTGTTGTACTGTGATGGCGTGCATGTTGCTGTGAGTCTGGCAGCTATGCCACAGGTGTTTCAAATACCAGCAGGGTCACCCATGGCGGCAGACAGCTTTCAGATGAGCTTCCATATGACTATCAGTGGAACCCGGTAAACACCACATTACTTAACTAGTACTTTGCAATATCGCGTGTAATACTTGCTGCTTACTGTTCTTGTTGAGTGCCATCCAGTCGGTGCCAACTCATGGCGACCCTGTATAGGATTTCTAAGAAGTGGCTGGTGAGTTTGAACTGCTGATCTTGAGGTCAAAATTGACTTTGCAGTCCCGCAGCTGCACCCCAGGACTCCCATTATAGTATAGTGTTAGTACACTACAGGGAGGTGTGTAGCAACCAGAGATGAGAGTGTTCATTGTAACTCAGATACGTCGTAAGTCACGGATGCTGGTGTGGGTGGCTCTTCAGAACTGGGACCGTAAAGCTGAGGAACATGGTGCTCAAGAAAGCTATCGCAGCCCTGGGAGACAGTAGCTTTGTGACCACCAGCTGGGGTAGGAGGTCCCTGGTTGGGGGAGTGGGGGTTCTGAGCTGGAGGCGGAGACAGGAATTGGGTTTGGGCCACATTAATTGTGAGCTCCCAGCAGCACCTACGTGAATTTAGTATGTGGGTCATATTTATTTACTTCAACGGGTCTGAATAGGAGCAAATTCGGGGCCCAAGACCGAGTTTGGAGTTTCCAGCAGGTATAAGTGGTGTATATGGTGAATCCACCTGGGAGCGTGTCATCAGACAGACCAGTACCCATGCACGTGCCTGCAACGGTGGGCTCCAACGTGACAGTGAACTGGGGGTGCTGCAGGACCAGGCAGTGTGTTCCATTGTCCATGGAGTCCTGTGAGTCATCTACGAACAAGACTCTCATTGTGAGCCCTCTGGTGGCACCATGGGTAAAGCACTGGGATGCTCAATATCAGGTCAGCGGTTCAAACCCACCAGCTACTCCGAGGGAGAACGATGAAGCTGTCTGCTTTGGTAAAGATTTACAGCCTTGGAAACTCTGTGGGGCGGTTCTCCTTTCTCTAGATGGTCGGGACTTGGGATGCACTAGACTGCTCTGGGTGTGGAGTTTTGCTGTTGCTGCACACCCCGAAGTTCCACCGGAGAAAGCTGTCAAACTGCTTCTGTAACAATGACCGTCACGAAACCCTCTGGGGCAGTTTTACTGTAACACGTGGGGTGGCCATGAGCTGGAATCAGCTCAGCAGTATTTTATCACACCAGCAGTCTCGTGGTGAGCCACTGGGAGGTATGGTTCACTTGGCCACTATCCGAAAGGCTTTCGGTTGGCTCTGCCCATGCCACCTCAGAAGAAAGACCTGGAGATCTACTTCTGAAATGTCAGCCATTGAGAACCCCACAGATAGACCCCCATGATGGGGTCACCACGAGTCAGTGGATCCAATAGTAACTGGCATTGTCCCTCTATATCTTAGTCTGTGCAGAGTGTTCTTAGGTGTCAGGAGCCGAGAGAATTTACAGCTGTGTCTGGGCAGTGCCCACTGTCTGCTGTGTGTCAGGGGCTCAC